TCCAGGTGTAGGACCTTGCACTTGGCTTTGTTGAACTTCATGAGGGTCGCACAGCCACTTCTCAAGTTTGCCAAGGCCCATCTGGATGGCATCCCTTCCCTCCAGCGTGTTCACAGCTCCACACAGCTTGGTGTGCTCAGCAAATCTGCTGAGGGGGAACCCACTCCCGCTGTCCTGCACCCACAGCCACCCACCTGTGTCCTACAGAACACATACGTTGGTAGAGGAACTCTGAATTAAATTGCCAGAAATGCTAAGATCGATAGATAAATTCCTTTTGGCTTCATTTAACTTTGGATCATGCCCTCAAGGAAGAAATAGATGACTACAGGTCTTAACCTGAATTCGCATAGGCAAGAGTGGAGAGGTAATCTTTCTTGCACAGTGGATTGGAAAAACTCTGCTAGCCTTTCCAAATTCTGTTCCAACTGCTCCCACCAGGCCTGGGTGGCTGTAGACTTAGACAGCAAAACTGATTGTTTGGTTCTCTTTCCAGCAGGGTGCTGTCATCTTGATATTAAAAAAAAAAAAGAAAAGAAAAAGCCATCAAAGTAAAAGGGAAGTGGGGTGATGGAAAACTAAATGTTTGCAAAACAGGTCAGTTCTTTGAATTTCCCAATCCATTACATAACAAAAATGCATGAACTATGTGATTAAGAATACTAAGTAGTAAGTACAGAAATCAATTCTGTTTAGTGAGCATTCAAATCCCCTTGAGGATTTAAAATGTTTTTTAAAGTCTAAGGAGGTGTGTGGGGGGTGACATCTTTTCTATAAATGCATAGAATTACTAAGCACAAGGGATTTATTTAACCAGGAAACTTACATTACTGAGATTAGACATCTCGTTTTCAAGGTGCTCTGGGAAGATAATGACTCCTATACCCATAATTCACTGTAGACATCAGTTTTGTCTGATAATACATAAATTGACCTGATGATAGAAGTTAGCAGTTTTCACTCTAAATTGCAGTATAGTGCTAGATAGCAATAAAGAGTATGTGGGGGTGATTCATTGAGTTTCTGTAAATTATAGAGCAGAGGATTTGGCCCTCCTGTTTAGGAAATATACATTTCCTCTCTAAAACAGAGATGCAGTTTTTCCTTTCATTAAAATATAAATGCTCTGAAAAACAAAATCAAATCTTTTGGAACAAGGGAAAGAACAATGTGGTTATTTAACCTGAAAAGAAGGTTAGCCTCAAGGAATAGCTGAATGCTACAATGAATCACATGGAAAACACCATGGGCTTTTATGATGCTGTGATTAAATATGACCAGTTAGCAGGAGAAGGTGCATGAAATTCTGATTACAGAGAATCTGATGGGAATTTTGCCAGTGACTTTTATATGCACAGAGCTTCTCTTGGATCCTGGAAACTGTGAAAGCATTTTACTTGCCTATTTGATTTTGAGTTAGGGAATATTCACACTTCCTGTCTTTATTTGCTTGATTTTCTGGGGTGAAGTAAATGTTATAGCATTTTATGTTGAGTAAGATTAAAATAATCACTAACTGAGCTAAACTCTGTTGAAAAGCCTTGTTGCAAAGGTTTAAAAACTGCTGTATTGAATTGATCCCTGCATCTGTAAGACTTTCATTTCAGAGGAGGAGCAGACTATTGCAATTTGGCAGAGGTGAGAAGGATTGGGAAGCCTTTTCCTTACCAATTTTTAATTAGCTGCTGAATGTAAAAGGAGGAAATGAAGAAGCTGCCTCTAAATTGAAGGAGATTCTAAAAGAAAAAAAATCAATACCGTTTAAGGAATCAGATTTTTAGCTGGTACTTCATGGGTCCTTTCCAAACTATTAAGTAGATGTAATTTAGAGCCACTGATTGGAACATCTGATTCAGGAATATCAAATGTTAGTAGCTCTGTCTTGGAGACTATTGTGTTTGCGGTCTGAAATGGAGATTTCTACCATTTAAAGTGTCTTCAGGAGATGTGCATGACAGAAAATGTTAAACTTGTCTTACAGGAGAAGTCTCCCAGGTTCAGACAGGGGCTTCTCATGGAGCACATGGGTTCACATGGGAGCTTCCCGTGGGTTGTGGATCACACAGCTCTGCACAGGACTGCTTTGTCACCTGCCTGCTGGAAGTGAACAGGAGAACCTGAAAGGAGACAGGGGTTTTATCCAGTGTGCACCTATGGGATTGCCCTCGCATGTCAGGGAATAAGTGAGGTGTGGAGTAGGCACTGGCTGTAAGGAAGTGCTGAAAGTTCTCCCCAAAGAAACAGGACAGCAAGAGGGAAGCCTCTGACTTGATTTCTGAACTTCCCACTTTCCACTAAGATAATAGCAAAGCACTATGTTTATTTTTAAATAAAATAAATAAAGTAATAATTCAGCCTTTTATGTGGAGTGAATAATGTGACCACTCAGCCTACAAGCAGTTGCATGTTTAACACTCAGACTATATCAGGCAGTAGCATTGTTGCTTTTAATTTTAAACCTGTATGAAAACACTCAGATGACAAATATGACGATCAGAAGACAGCTAGATGTAAAATGTAATTAAGGATTGATATGCTATAAGAGGAAAAAAACTGGAGGAGGAAGAAAATAGGAGTAAATATTATTTCCATATTTACTGAAATGCGTCCAAGTTAACAATTACTAATACATTATTTTATTTTTGTCCATCACACAAGGAAATCTGTGCACCACACAGCCCTGCTGAGTTCTTCCAGTGGCAGGTGAAGCTGCACCAGTAGAGTGGCTGTCATTAGAAGGGGAGCCTGGAGCTAGGGCTCAATTGAGAGTACCTGCACCATAGCTCAACCTTTAGTGCTTGTATGCCAAGTTAGATTATGGATTGCCACTTACTGTGAGCACACAGCTGAAATCCAGTCTCCTGAAAAGGCCAAGGATGCCTTGAGATCTCAGCTATGAAGTCTATTCATTGTGCAGGAATAGAAAACTCAATATATGAAAGTCTCAATTTTGTGCGACTTTTTTTTTTTTTTTTTTTTTTGAGGATATAGAGCCCAAGCATACAGAAATCATGGAACAGTGATGAAAGAGAATTAAATCCTAACTGTGCAAGATTAAAGCTGGGAAGTGAAGGTTCAAGTATTTGATAAAAAACTTTTTCCCCTTTGTCCCCTTATTATAGTGGGTTTGCTGTTCTGTTATGCTACTGCTGCAGAAAAATACACTATTTATAACAGATAAAATATACATAGAGATCACAACACTGATGCTAATGTCAAATTTGATCTATTTAGCTACTGTTTTTTAATTATTCTCAAAGCTCAAATTCTTTCCACAGCGAGCTGTGGTGTCAAATGGCATTATGAACTCTTGCTGAGTATTTTATTTACATTATTCATCCTGATAATAATCTGTTGCTTCTTATTTTAATTATTCTAGTAGGTGTTTCCTTACAGTTTGTGATTTATCTAGTAGTCTAATGTCATCTCTAGTTTAGGCCTATCAACAAACTTGACCCTTACAGAAAGTTGTAACAGTGAATAATAAACATCTAAAGTGCTACTTTTTCATAAGAGTTTTACCACTGACAGTACCCAAAACCATGTAATAATGTGCATTTTTGCCTTCCTACACAGTTTCCTTGCCATATATGTGTAACTGTAGGTATAGGCTGCTTTTTTTATTTTAATGTTTATTCTTAAATTCTTCTCTGTTCTACAGGTCTACAAATATAGGCAAAAATTAAAACTTAATAGCTTAGTTTGAGATCTGGCCTTTTAGTTACTCTTACCTTGAGGATCTGCAGTATAAAACCAAGAATCTTCCTCCTAAATGTTTTAGAGTAAATAACCAAATCACCTCTAAAGCTACAACCCAAAATCAAGAAATTAAATCAATCTAAATGGAAGACACATTCCCCCCTGAGTTACTTATTTTAATTTTACTTGCTCTTCAGTCTTTCTGGAGTTTTCCAGATAGCTATTACTGCAAATAGGCAATAAAGAAAAATAAAAGTAATTAATTCTCTGTAGCAGGAAAAGGTGCTTTTGGTCATTACTTTCATAGTGCTCTGCACATGAGGTTTCTGCTGGTAGTTTCGTTTTTCCAGCTGGAGAACCTGAGGCACAGGAAGGATGAGCATTTGCTCCCTCACAAGAAAACTTGCAAGTGAGCCATAAAGCAAATGCAACCCCATCTGTGGCAAGCTTGGTCTCTCAAATGTCTATTTTTGTGTCACTAGGTGGTAATTGACAAAATCTTTCACTAGTACTCAAGTTTATAGAAGGAATAAATGAGAACTCTCTCATTAATTTGCTTCTAAATTATAACATTTGTCATAAAACTCTACTAATATGTGAAATCAACCTGAAATTAAAGCTGGAAAGGAGACCTGGGAAAAGCCTTCAAGAAGACTTTTACATATTTTACAGCAAATTCGAAAAGTGTCAGTTAAGGATTTTTCCTTTTAAAATCCTGAATCTCATCTGCATTTGTTTGTGTGCACCTTGTTTGGGTTTTGCTCATGATAGAAACCAACTTATGTTAAAATGTATTTTCCTGTCAAAGTAGAGACATTTCAGATTTGCTGGCATGCAGATTCAGACTAAAAAAATTACTGGAATAAACTGAAACAGTGAGAAGTGGGAGTAACGAAAGAGATGCCTCTCCTTTACAAATATGAAGCTGTGGGCCCAAAGAAAGGAAATCAAGATCATGGTCACAAAATGACACTGCCTCTCCATTTCTGGGGAATTTCAGCTTTTCTCTTCAGTACCAATTGCTCCTTGTTCATGTAATCAAATTTCATAGCATGCACATAAAAGCTGTCAGAAATTAATTTATGGGAAATTAATTGTGGTTTGGAGGGAAATATTATTCCAAACACTATCTAATTTCAGGCGTTTCATAATCTGTAAAAATGAGACTGACAGTACTTTTTTAGCATCAATTCTTTGTTAGGCTGTTCTACTCCATTATGGGTGATGGAATTTTCCTGGTTTATACTAGCTAGTGACATAGACTAATTTTTTTTTCTCTACAATCACTTCTCCTTTGTTTGCTTGTCTGTATACATTATAATACCTCCTACTATAACTCATGGATCAGCTTCAACCACTCCCAATTTTTTTTTATTTTCAAGATTTGCCAAGTTTTCAAATGGCAAAATTGATTTAATCCTAATCTTCATCATCAAGCAATCAACATGTTAGGCAGTAGTTTGGTAACTATATTTTAGGGTACAAGTATACAATTTCAGGTTTTTGCTTGGCTTTTGATTGGTTGGTTGTGAGTATTTTCAATAATTTTTTTTTTGACTCACAAGTTTGGTTTTTTTTTTCAAGAATTGTAAGTAAGAAAGTTCCATTCATAATGCAATAGTTAATAATTACTGAATTTTGTATATTAATTCATGTGTATAGCAAACCAGCATTTCATGAGAATTTCTGTCTTTTGATAATCTCAGTAAATTGAGAAGATTTGCCTTGGAGTTAGTTGCCTGTGCCAATAGTCTCAGACAGAAGAAGTTTTATTTCTCTTAGATAATAAACTTTAATAAAAACAGCAGCCTGTGAGAGAGCATTTTCTGAGTTCATGGAAATCATTCAGACCTTGCTTTTGTTTTGCTAGTAAACACTGCTCTTTAATTCAGAAAACAGTTTGTATTGGCCTGGGGAAGCATGTCTCATTTGATAATGGGCTCTGAATCCAGTGGATTATTGCAGGGATTTTATCTTGCAGTAATCTCCGGGGAGAAATGTACAAACAGCTGGGAGAGCAAGAAGGAACTGCATTGTGCAGCAGGAGTTTGTGGAGCAGAATTTTAGAGTGCTGGAGTGGATCTCAATACCAACATGAATCTTTTCTGTTTTTCTCTGGTAAGTGTGCCCACACATAGTTGGTTTTTTTTGTTTATTTTTATTTTTAAGTGGGTTACTGAGTTTATAAACTGAACTGGTGGGTGTACTTTCATGAAAAATAATGAAGGGTTTATATCACAGACAGTGCAAGGGTTGTATAACAACAGTGAGTCTCTCTAGCTTAGATGAAGGAGTTTTTGTATAGGAAATTGTATGGAGCAAAATATGATTCAGTAAAAATATAAAGCAGAGAATAGATAATAAATGTGCCATGCACTATCTGGGACTATTGCAAAAACATGCCAATTTAGTCATGAGGCATTTAATCCAAATATGGTAAAACAACTCAGAAGTAAGACAAAATTACTAAATATATGTATGTTATAATTTGTTTTACACTAGGCTTTTTTTTTTTTTTTTTAAGATAATAATATCCATTTTTTTCCTTCTTCAGTAGTATGGGAGAACAGCTAGAACTTTTCAAGCAATAGTTTTCTATTAGCCAAATATGAGAACGTAGTCATCAGGGATAATTTATCCATGGCAATATTTGCACACAGACAGAGGACTTGATTTAAGAACCCTCTTTTGTTGGTTTTGCGTTTTTGCACTTTCTGCTTGTTTGTTTGTTTTGGTTGGTTGGGTGTTGGGATTTTTTTTCTTTTTTTTTTTTTTCCCTTCTCTTTCTTTGCCCCAAGGCAACTGCGCAGAACAAACAGGTAAATCAGGATAGAAAATCCACAGAAACTATTTCTGTTTTAAGAGCTTAACCATCTGCCAATACCAATGCCCAGTATTAGTAATGGTAATTAGCTGAGTATATTTGCTGTATTTATACAGCACAGTAGATCTGTTTGCCCATTTTTCATCTTTTGTCCTGATGTTTAGTATATCTTTCCCATACATTTGGAAAGAACAATAAAAATCAATATTCAGGCTGCACTAATACAAACTCAAATAGAGCAACTGCTTTGTGTAAATCGTTGCTCCTGATTGCTAATACTGTCTTAGTGCAGAGTCCTGGTATTTTCCAGATCATAAGGATTAAAAGCTGGTTTGTACTTAGAGTAAAATGCACTGGTATTTCAGGAATCTGTGACAAAAGTCACTCAAAAAAATAATTCCCTGGGAACTCAGTGACTCTTTTGATCATAGTTTAGTGTGAAAGCCTATGTATTTGTACAAAGTTAACAATGGCTGTGTGGTACAATCTGTAGCAGCTTGAAAATACTAATTTCAGAAGTTCTTTGGGAAAGAACTGTTCTACCAATATTTTACTGTTCTGTTGGAGCAGCTTCTTGTTTTCTTAGTAGCTCACTTTCAAAATAAAGGTGTTGAGCTTTGTATTGGTAGAGAAAGCAACATTTAGATGAAATGTCAGGTAGATTGTGTGGGTGACAGTAGGTCAAATTCCAGTTTCCCTGTTAAACTCGGTATGCAGCACCCAGGGTTTCTGTGGGAGAGTCAATGACTGCTGATAATGGATGTTTCAGACAAGTGAAAGCTGGTGCTGTGATAGTTTCTGTAATGAAATAATTAGTTCTGTTTAAAGATTGCCGCTAAGAAGATAACCTCCCTTCTTTACAAGCTTTACATGGGAGCTACTCTGCCCTCTTTGGTAATCTTCTGCTCACCCAGCAAAACACCTCACAAGTTATCAATATTTAAAGATAATTTGTAGGTCATTAATGGGTTTCATAAAAGGAAGAGTCCTGTGCAGTCCTCCCTGTGCCTGTGACATGGGGCAGTTGCTTTCAGTATTTAGATTGTCTAGCTGGGAAATGAGCTGGTGATCCAAGTATGAGCACGGGCCACTTTTACTCTGTCACCCTGTGGCCATGGAGAGGCTGGCTACAAAGCAGTTGTAGTATCAATATAAGGGTATTTTTCCCTTCAAGGGAGTCAAGCCAGAAATAATGAACAGCAACAACATAATTAGGATTCAAAGGCAACTTTTAAATGTGCTAGGGGAGAGATTCCCTTAGTAGTTGCAAATAGACAACAAGGAATAGAAATCACGGTTGATTTACATTGAGTGAACATCTGGAGCAACTGCTAAACCTGAAACTGTGGAAGAGAAATTCAGACAAAACAAAAAGAGCTATACAAAAGAAATAATATTCTCATGGAAGTATTTATCTCATGTAGACTGACTGACAAGATTTCGGACTGCAAAGAGTGTGTGTGTGTGTGTACTTATGTGTGCATATGCCCATGCTGTTTAAATACACTTGTTTATAGCTCAGAAAATAACTTTCTACCCTATAGTAGGGTAGAGTATAGGAGTATAGTGGTTGAAGTAATCTACAGCCTAAGAGAATGACAACAATATTCTGTTTAACCAGACTTCTGGCTGATCCAAAGTAGTGGAACAACCAGGTTGTTAGAGGAACATCTGTTCATACTGTTGAATTTTAATTTGTGCTTGCTTTCATACCTGTCCATAAAACTGAGACATAGTTCTAGCATGAGACACAGTGTTATGGGCCAGTCTAGCAAGTGGTGATGTAGAGTCTGGAGACACAGAATAGTCACAAGATGATTGTGATGAGGCTTTGGAGCCTGAACTGGAACTCCTTTTCCCAGTGAGACAAATTAATTACTCCAATCTGTCACCACGTGGGAGTCCTCTGATCTTCTAGTACGACTGCTCTAGCACGGGGTGTTTCCTCAGCAGTACTTTGTGTCCTCAGTTGACTTAAGAATGATTTGGTTTCTCAACTGAGATTATTTTTCTCATCAGACTCATTGCCTTGTTCTCAAGAGATTTTCAGGCAAATTAGATTTGCCTTCAAAACCTTGTGTCCCTTTTCCATTTACAAAATGATCAACAGGATAAGTGTCTTATTTTTTTGTAGATATATTATGTTAAAAGGTTAACCTTAGACCCTAAATTTGCAGTGTCTTTTCCATCTCATGGTGTTTACCATGTCAGACAATTGAATCAGAACAATACTCTTTGTATTACTGGCAATATACAGAGAGAGTCCCAAATTAAGCACTGCTTTTGTATGAATTGCAAGAAATAATGCTGCCAAATCACCTGTTTTGATACACTGTCCTATAAATATCAGAATCCTACAAATCTGATAAATGAAATTTATTATTGAACTTTGAATTCCTTTAGTTAAGGTGGAATATTTTTCCTGCATTATTTTCCTAAATTGGCTCAAGGATATACGCGTTAGGGTTAGCACCAATTCACCTGGAAGAGTGTCGGAACACAAAATGTCCCTCAGACATTTTTGGGTGTTTGGGGTCCAGGTCAGAAGCATTTGAGACCCTGGCAGGCAGCTGGAAACAGCTGTGATTTTGGGTTTGAGCCATGGAATGATTTACCAACCTTGCAGGAAGAACAAGAAGTCACAAAAGTTTAGATACTATAGTAGAAGTAGTCACAAAGTAGAGGGAAGAATTTTTTAGTGTTGTACAGGGGGGTTTTAAGTCTTGTACATGGGGGTCAGATGTTTTAAGATGGAGGGATTTGGGTCTGCCCTGTCCTCCCTCTTTCTTCTTCCTTACCTCCATGTTCTTGGTGATGTTGGCACTTATGGATTGGTTCAGAGTAGAAAAGCACCATTTAATATAGGTAATAGGCATTGGGGAAAAACTGTAATCTTTTAGATAACTTGCAATAAACTGCCTTGAGACTGAACAACAAGAGACTGCTGAGCCTTTCTTTGAAAGCACAGGTTGGAGGAGAGACTTTTCCACCACACGGAGCCACCCCCGACCTAGGGTGAGCTCTGGCAGAAGAGTACTACTGAGTTATGCTCACAACCCCTGCCCTTCAGCAAAGTTTTGATAAAAAAGCAGAGCAGAAACCTGTGTAAGAAGGCCAGTAGAGAAAGGCTGTGACACTCCTAATTACAGTGTGGTTCACATCAGTTACTCAAGTTGAGCAGTAGTCTTAGGATTTAAGCCAAACAAGATCCCTTTCATTTGTCTATTTCTTTCACATATGGTGCCTTTCTAACCACCACTTTTGCTAGTAAAATGTAAAGTTAAGTACTGAGTGAAAATCTAATCCTCTTAGTGATTTTCAATAGCATTGGACAAGTTATGTTTTATTTTGATTGTTGGTTTAAAGATGTGCTGACAGCACAATGTAAAATGTATTACATCTAATGTTATAAACTGAAAAAGCCCTTGGCACTAAAAGCTAATGTTTCTATAGTGCAAAATGCAGAGAGAATAAGTATTAATAAAAGTGATGTAGTGGATAAATTGTGAATTAGCTGGAGCCTCTATGTTAAAGAAACCATAGAATGGTGCTAATGCTGCTATGACTAGTGGGACATGATGGCACTTAGGAACGGACTGGACTTAAAACTATGTTTTACCAAAGAAGGATTGGCTGAATGTGTGTGATTAGAAGAGATCTAAGTGGTTGAACTTTGTAGTGCTTCCCATGTAATCATCTCTCTATAGCCCTTGTTCCTTTTAGCTGGATTGCTATCATCCCACCATACACAGGGTTCCACCCCTAAACCTGGGATGGAAAACGGCCTGGCTGCATTACTAAATGCTCTTTCTCTTCCTTATGATCAAGACTCTGCATGCCATGATGATAATAATATCATGCAAAGCAAAGAGCTACAGGCAATTATTTTCTTTTAGATGTGAACTGGAATATTTTGGATGCTTTGTCCCCTAAAACTCCTGAAGCAAAGAGCTTCAGAAAGCTTTCTTATTCCATGTAGGATAAAGAAAATGTGCTAACTACTCCAGAATTAAGTTCATATTTCATTATACTATCTCTTATTTTCCTCTGTGATGTTTACTGTGCTCAGGAATACTAAAAGAATTAGGAAATGAAAAAACTTTACTGGCTTGGCAGGTTTTGGTATAAAAGTAGACTTAACTGTAAAATAAAATAAAATAGAAAGGAGCAAGAATATTTCAACTTCAGTTAAATACTTTGAGTTGCCCTCAAAGAAAGGCAATTACTACAAGGAAAATATACTCTTATAAAGTATAGAAAGCAATTTTGAAAACTGAAGATGTATTTTCTCTTTTTTGGGTGCTCTCCTTCTCACTCTTCTGCTTTTTTGTGTGAGTTTTCTTTCTTGAATTTGTTTTCCTGGTTGTCCTCTCTCACATCCTTTCCCTCACTGCTACGTGTTCTCACTCTTTCTTGTGTCTGTGCTTACCTAAGCCCACAAAAGCCTCCCTTCCTCTCTTCACTCTATCTTCCTTTGTGTCCCTTTCTTATCTTTTAATTCTCCCTCCACTCTCTCCTTTCACTGTTCCTTGCCTTTTCTTTTCTCTCCCTTTTTATCTTTTTCATGCTTCTCTTTCACATGAGCTCTCTTTATGCCTCTCCCTTTCTTCAACAATGCCATGTATTATTCCCTATTGAGAGGGAAGTATATGGTTATATTTTACATTGCAGAATCCTGGAAAGGTTTTAAACTCATCCTTTTTGCCTGTGATTCTGCTCTCTCACCCATTTTCTCGCTTCATGTGACCTTACTCTCTTTTCTGCACCATCATGCCCCTTCTCCCTTGCTTAATACTTCATGGCCACTCAATCTCATGCCCTGGTGCTCACTTTCTTGCACCTTTCTCCCTCTTTACTGAGAGCTCTGTTTGTCACAAGGATTCCTTGTCCACCATTTCCCACATATTCACTCTTTCTTACAAGTTGTCCTGCTCTTTCTTATCCCCTTCCTCACAGCCCCTCTTTCTCGTGGCCTTGCACTATCTCCCCCCTTCTCATGACCTCACCCCTTCCCTCACAACCTCATTCTCACTGTGTCTCCTGCCTGCACACTCACTTCTTGCACGTGCCTTCTCTTTCTTGAACAATCTCACTTGTGCTCACCATCTCTTCCTCACTCTTCTTCTCTGTGCTATTCACACTCCCTTCTTCTCATGCCCCACTCTTGCTTCCTTGTGTTTGTTGGTTTTTTTTTTTTTTTTTGCTTGCTATATTCTCCCAGCACACTGTCTTTCTCATGTTCTTTCTCCCTTTTTCTCACTTTCTGGTCTTTCTCTCACATGTGCACTTTCTTGCAGCCTTGTTTGTGCGTGCTTGTGCTTTGTTGCACGCTTCCTTTCCCAGGCACCTGCCCTTTCTCATGATGTTGTTTTTCTTGCACCCTTGCTCTACCCTTGGCACTTTCCTTCATGTGCTGTCCTGCTCTCCTGCCTTCAACCCTGGCTTTTCTTGCACCCACTCTTTCCTATGCCCTCCTGCTTTCTCACGAGTGTTCTCTATCATGTGAACATTCCCTCTGATGTGGGCTTGCTCTGTCTTATTTGCTTTCTTAATTTATCTTATGAATATGTCCTTTCTCACATCTCACTCTTGCTTTCATGCAGGGATACTTTCTCATGCCCTCTCCTTTTTCTCACACCTTGATTTCACTTGCATTCCCTTTCTTGTGCCCTCACAGTCTTTCTTGTGAACTTGTGTTTAACCATTTTCAAACCTTGATGCTTGCTTTCTCACTCAGTTTCTCTGCCCTTCTCCTTCTGCTTTCTCCCTCTTTATTTCTTTATTTCTTGCACATTCCCTTTCTGGAGTGCTCCCCCTTTTTTGTGGCCTCACTTCTCTTGTGACCTTCCTCTTTCCAGCACTCTCCTTGCACATGCTGGCAGTTTCTCCTGCAACCATGTTCCCACACACCATGGGCTTTATCTTTTGCTTTCCCACATTTTTGCTTTCTTGCCCATGTCCTCCCTTTGTCACACCCTTGCTCATTCCACTACACTTGATCTTTTTGGTGCCCTCCCTCTCTCATGTGCTAACTCTCTCATTCCCTGGCTCTTCACCTTCCCTTGGTGTTTCCCATGTGCTTTCTGTGCACACACTCCTGTGCTTCCTCCTGCACTCACAACCTTTCCAGTCCCTTATGTTCACTCTTCCTCAGGAAATATTTACTTCTCACCCAGTATCTCTGTCTCATGCTCTCTTTCTTGTCCTCTCCCCCTCTCATTCACAGTTCCTCTCACTTTCACACATTCCCAGGCTCTCCCTTGGTCCCTCATCTCTTTCTTTCTCTTCTCCCCTCGCTCCCTGTTTTGTGTGCTGGCTCTTCCTTGTGCACTTGATTTTTCTTGAGTTCTTTCTCACAGCAGTTGTGCTTTTCCCCCGTGCTCCACTTGCATGCCTCCTGTTCCTTGTGCCCTGGCAATTCTTCATGCATGTCCTGCTCCTGATGCCCTCACTCTTTCCACAGGGACCTGCTGTTTTTTCTGCACACTTTTTTTTTGTCTTTTTCTTATGTGCTCACCCTTTCTCACACCCTTGAGCTCCATCTTTCTCACACAAGATCTCTCTCTTTTGAGCTCATTCTCATATTTTTCCTCCTTCAAGCACTAATTCTCACATGCTCCCCATTACGCTCTTTCTCCCTTTCTGTAGTTCCTCCTCTCCTCCCTCTCTTATCCTTTCTCTCTTCCCCACTTCTCCCCCACCTCTTTCTGTATCCTTTTGGTGTATTTTCTTAGCCTTTTCCTGCCCCCCCCCACCCCCCACTACTCTGACCTTTCACTGTTCCTTGTCCTATCTTTTCTCTCCCTTTTTACCTCTCTCATACTCTCACATGAGTTCTCGTCTATGCTTCCATCTCTTCATTAAATAGTCTCTTCACCAAAGTTGCATTTTATTTCCTATAGAGGGAGAACTAGATGGTTGCATTTCACATTGCAAAAACCTGGAAGTGTGTAACAAATTTTTAAACCCATCATTTTTGTCTTGAAGTGTTCCATCCACAGCTTCAGATGGGGAGGCTGAACCATCATTGCTATATGGCAAAATACTTACAGTGATAAAAAATAAATGCAGTAATAATAAAAAAAAATGCAGTTGCTGTCAAAACCCAAGCTCAGCTGGATGTTCAGCATTTCCATGTGTTTCATAAACTAGGCACCAATTTCCCAGGAAGCATTAACTCATTAACTCCTAGAATAGGCTCAAGTATGCAACTTGAGTATTTTCAAGAAGTTCACCATGAAATATTTCTCCCAAAATATTTATTTTGGTTTATCAAGAATCTAGCAGACTGAGGCAAATAAATATCCATTGATAAACATTGTGCTTGCAAAAATTAGTCATGTCTTTGCACTGCTGCTTCACCAGTCAAAAATATTGCCTGTAAAGCTTTATGTATTAATAATATAATTTCAAATATACATCTGTGTTTATCTTCTGTACTAAAGGAACAAATTCCTTTAAATAATAATATACTATGTTAATTTCAATGGTGTTGCTCTGCTGTAAGTCACACTGCTTTAAATTTGATTTATTCCTTAATTAATGCAGTTAAAATTACTAATCAAAATTCATTGGGAAAATATTCAGTGCAGATCAAAATGGCAACATCTAAAATTTAGGATCATCATTTAGAGTGTCTTTAGTTTTGCCATCTGCTTTCACTTAACTCTTGAATTATGAAATGGCAGTGTGTATATGTAATCCAAGCTCTTGGAGTTGTGGGATAAATGTAAAAATTTTATTTTCTATTAAAATATTTATATTCTTGGTGGTTGGGTAAAAAGAACCTTACATGTACATTAAAACACAGAGTTCAAAAATTTGAATGCAAATGGAATTTTTAATTCTAGCCATTATCATTATTCTGGGAGCCTAGACCACAATTGTTCAATCTGAGGTGCTGGCAGCATTGTTCCTCTCAAATTCTAAGTAATGAGGTTATCTTTCTGCATGAAATTAACTTTTTTTTTTTTTTTCCCCTATGTAGAGGTACGAGCTAGAAAACATTTTTATGGTTCATATAAAAGTCTTCATGGTATATGGTTTTCATAGTTTTCACAGGACTTTTCATGTAGTGTTCAGTTGGAGATATACACTTGGTTTTATTCCTTCTGAGAAGAGAATATTAATTTTTACTGTACCCTCAGCTTTAACATGGCAATCTGTGGTGTCTAAATCATGACACTGTGAACTCCAGCATTTGGTACTTATTAAACTTAACATCTATATGCCTTTTTAGAGAAAAAAACTAAGTAAAAGATTTCAAAAGATGGGGGAGGCAAAACACATTCCATTATGCAAATCAGGCAAACATCTTCCTTGCTAAATTACAGTTAATTGAATATAATTGCAAGCGTTCATCTCTGTTTAAATGTGTTTTAGGAGGGCTCCATGGACAGTTTGTATGAGCCTGTCCCAGAACATCAGGAAGCCAAGGATACAGCTACTCCTGAAAGCCAGGCTGGCACTCCAGTGAGCACACATGGCAACTGTGGGCCACCTGACAGGTCTATGTCTTTGGTAAGTAGCATTTAATTGCAAAGCATGCAATGCATTTTGCAAAAAAAAATTGCTGTGTACGTGGGCACGTGTGTGTTCTGCTGGCTTATCTGCCAGTTTGAACTATTTAGGCTTCTCAGAGCCACTGTTCACATCTCATCTCTGTGGCCAATGACCTGATTTCTGTCCAGAACACTTGAAAAGCAGGTCATGAGTTTCTCTACAGCGAGCAGCAAAGGGAGATTAGTGCAGCTGCACTGGACAAGGGAATTTCTCTTTGCAAGTAACAGTATATGAAAGCTCTGGGTACAGTTATTGGTATGGTTTGTCTCTAAAGAATATACTATCACTGTCTTTGGTTGTCCTTTTTATTAATACAAAAAAATTGCATTTCTAAAGTGTGAGCAGAATGAATTTTGATGGCCTCTGGAATAAACTTGACATTTTACAAGACCTCATTAGGCAAACATGTGAAGGAGGTTGTCTTCTGGGCTTTTATTTTTTCCTTCCTAAATGATGTTACCCTAGTTAATCCTTTCTTATTTGCATGTTATTGGTATAATAGATGATGCTGTGACAAATACTTTAACATGGTATATTAAATTTCATAATCTTATTTATTTCAGATTCTCTGTTCTCTGCTCTGCAATGTGCCTTTCTTATAATTACTGTTTCTATTTCAATGTAAGATGCAGTCTGGTGATTGAATGAAGGGGAAAACAGGATGGTCATCACTCAGTGGAGGCTTCCCTTCAGATATTGTGCCAAGTTTCACCCACATGCACTCTGGGTTAGACACCATGTACCTATGAGTCTGCTGGGCCTTCGGTGTTGCAATATCACACAGCAGCTTTGCACACAGGATTTGCTTGGAGAAACAGCTGGAGCTGGTGGGATGGGAGAATGCTTGGGGAATTGTGGCATGCACTTGTTAAATTGCTAAAGGACTGAAAGACTCAGACTTTCTGCTGTAACCATCTCGCTCTGTGCATGTTCCTCTCTTCCACATAATCACCTTGGGACTGTAATTAATGGTCCTGGTTTTGAAAGTGTAGCAGTGCAGATATCTTAAGATGATTCCTCGCAGCATCAGCAAATATCTATGAGCCTGGGCTCTGAAATGTCCCTATGTTATAATTTTCCTGCAATAGGTGGGAGATGCTCTCTCGAGTGACAGGGTTTTCCCATTGCCAGGCTGTGGCCTTGTCACTATAAGAATGAGCTGCCTCTACGATGTTCCAGTTAAGAGTGCACAACTGTGGTTGTGAAATATGGCTGGAACCTCATCCTAGCTTGACTGGATGCTCAGTGTGGGAAGCCCTAGTTATTTGTATTTGTGTAGTGCATGCCATTCTACATGCCCAAAGATGAACATTATAGTACAGTACCTACATATATTCAGTCTTTTACCCCTTTGCCATGACTCCAAACCAATTTAATATTCAATGACTGCTACACTTATATTTCCCTGGTCAATAGATGTTCATCTGTTAGAAGCAGTATTTAAACAACATAAAAACTAAAAGGGCAGTTTTGTTTTTTGTTTTGTACCCAGAATAAAACATATGATATCCTAATGGACTTTGCAATGGAAATCTAATTGGAATTGTCCTTTATTTTCTCAAGGTATGGTAAAGACACGCCCATAGGACTGTGCTCTGCTGTGGTTTTCACAATGTGTAAAACTAAGACTTAAAACTGCAGTGGTTGTTTGCATCAGCTGTTTCTTGCTTTTTCTTATCTTTATTCTGCTTTATTCTCATCTTTATTCTGCTTTTTATGTGTCAGCATCTTCATATTTTTATTGTATTGGGTTAGACTTAGGCTCCATAAATTATTTAGCTAAAGGAAAATAATCAACATATCCAGTAAAGAATTTTGTTTTCCTTGAAGCAGTCTGCAGAAGCAGATTTGCTACTAGTGTAGGATTAGAAAATTCCATACATTAATCTGAACAAATTTTAGCAAAACATCTTTCACACTGCTCAGTGTTTTGTGGGGTAGCACTGCATAGTCCATGAAGGTATATGTATCACACTGAATAGAAGAAACACTTTGGTTTCTGCTACCTCTTATAATGTATTTTTGTTTTCTTAAAGAAGATATTATGGTGATGACACATTTGTTCATCATTAACTAAAAAGTTCATTCTCAAGAAAAACAATAAATGGGGTAGGCACACTTGGCTCACTAGGTACTAACAAGAAACTTCCCAAGGCTGGTTCTAGGTTTTATTTTCTAGTTTAAGAGAAAATGAAATAGTTGAGCTGAACACTTAACTAAAAATAATATCTGGATGCTGTGTCACTGTGCTGGCTGTAGAATCAACACGATTATTTATAAAATACTTTCTAGAAATGGAAAACAAGATTAGTGATGACGTGTCGGCAGTAAGACCTATGGAAAAATGTGGCTAAGGCCAGAGGCCTGTGTGTAATCTTATCTGCTATTTCTGGCCTGTGAGTTATTACAGCTACACCTTGGATGAAGCTGTTAAGCTTATTAACTGAGCCCATTTGTACTTCTCTCCCATTTTTAATTCCGTCACTCGGTTCCAGGCTGCGGGGCAGCCCCCACAGCATGATAAATTCAGGACATTATTGGCTCCATTTAGCCATCCATCATTATCCAGTAATGCACGTACATAAGTGCACTGCTAAGTAGGTATGGACTCGAGTGAATCTTTAAATGGTTGGCTGAAGCACGGCAGGTTACACAGAGCTGTTAAATCTCCAAAGGGTGGAGCAGCCTGGCACGGCACACTTCCTCCTCAGGAGGATTTGACCTTTCCTTTTTCCTTTATAACTTCAAAATCAACAGAGCAGGCATCCAGGATCAGCTCCCCTCACATTTAAAAAGGCTGATGGGGGCTAGAGAAAATTCTTCCTTGTAATGCAAAAGGGTAGCGATTTTCTTGCAGTGAACTCATCTGTGGTGATTTGTCCTAATCAGAGCTGGGCCCTGAAGCTCTTCTGGAGGTGTGGGAAATACAGGGTAGTGTGGTCACTGAGGCTGTGCAGGACATCATTCACTGAACACAGTGACATTCCTTTTTGAACCATGGCTCTGGCCAAACATCTGCCCAAATGACACATCCTGTATGAAGAAAAAGCCGTCTTTCATGTACACTGTTCTTCTACTTCACATAACTCCAAAGACTTTTTTAATATCCAGAATTATTTGTCAGGGATATTTCCACTGTTCCTGTGGTATTATTGTGAACCTGTTGTGCACACATGCCTTTTGATTTTAATCCTCCTGGAAAATTAGCATGTTAATTTTGTGATTACTTTGTCTGTTGCTCAGCTTCAGTGATATTCTCAGAAAGAAAGAAAGAAAGATTTATGGAGTCGTTTTTGTACTTCATGCAGAGCAAATCTGAATTGGACTTTCCTCAGAAAGAGCTGAATCACATGGGTACTCTTTGCCTGTAACAATGCTATTAACTGAGAACTGAATTTCTGCCTCTTGTCACCTGGTGTTGCGGTCTTCTACCTCAAAAGCTGTCTCCAGCTTCTCAAGGAAACAGCCTCCAGTATTAAAACCATTTTCACATGTATCCTGTCAGTCTGAAATCACCAAATGTCATAAGATCCACGTATTTTTGACTTGCTGACTGTGATTGACTACCCTGTATATCAGAAGAGTGCCAAAAAATTTATCAGTCATTCTAAGTTGTTGCCAGGAATGTGAAAATCAGTTGTGATACCTGCCTTAATCTGCAGTGTTATAATTGGCCTTTGATCCCAGTGAGGGTGAGAAGAGGGCTGGTTATCTGAAGTGGTCATTTCCCTGTTTGCAAGTCTTAAAACACACACAGGAGCTCCAGCTTTTCTCAGCCAGCTTGGAAACACCAGAGGGGTTAATTCAATTCCTTAATTCAGAGTTATTTGATAACATCAGGAAGAAAAGAACTTTATCAATAATTTCATCATGCAGGGTTTCTCCATATGCAGTTTTTTCCTAGGGAACATTTGGGATAAGGAAGGAAAGAATTGTTCCCATAAACAAGATAATTATGCTCTAGAGAATGTGGAGAGTAAAGTCAAGGTGAACCTTTATTTACATTTTAAGATAAAATATGTTTTGAGAAACCAGTTTCATTTTAAAATTACATATAAGTTTAAACATAGTCAATACCAAAAAGATACTTTGAAAAAGTACAAGCCAGAGTAATTTATTCTTGTACCCCAGTTTAGCCACCTGACTCAGAAACAGCAAGAAGAATGTTTTGAATGAAAGGTGCCATTTTTTAATGGTCATTTAAGTCCATGACCTATTTCATTTTGGCACTGCATCCCATGCTATCCTGTGAACTCACATTAGTCATCACCTCAATATATGATGTACTCTCATCAGTGCAAATTTGCTGGACTTTAGGAATTGGTTTCAAGTTGTGGAGCAAAAGATGAAACCCTGCTTCATGGTCTACACCAGCTGTTTGGTGTGTGAGGATATGAATCAAATCTATTTGGATATATTGCCACAATGGGGCCTGTCTCCATTTTTTTCCATGGATCCTATACAGATTTTAAATTGCAATATCCTTTGGTCTCTGACCTCCATGGATAATGCTTCCTTTAACAAACTGCTTGAAATAAAATATTTAATATTTTTCAATGAAATTTGACACAACCTTTTTAAAGAAGACTTAAAATTACTTTTTAATTTTTTATTAACTTCTCTGTGTTTGTGCACCTCAGTTAGTAATTTCTCTTGAGTTATTGAAAATATTTGTCCAGGGACTAAAATGCTGACATTTTTTTCAGCAAGAAATTTTTATTACAGTGCCTACATTATTTCAAAGAGACTGATAAAGTTTGTATACTTTGATCTACATACAACATCTGTGAGCAAATCAACACAGGCAAAAAAGCAGATGTGGAAACTGCATACAGTTGTTTACATTCACAAATATCCATGCTAAAAGGGCCTCTTACTAAACTAAAATAACTTAGCACAGGAAAACAGCCTTTTCTTAATGCACTGCCTGAAAAAGCTTAAAAAATCTATTATGAGTTTTACTGAGAGGAGGGGGAGAAGTATAAAATGGTCAATTATGCACTTACATGGTTTTATGTAGTACAGGTTTTGGTTTTTTATTATGCAACCCGATGGCATTTTTAATTACTGTGGTCAGAGTCATGCAGATGTAGTTAGTGCTACAAGAAGGAAATAAATGAAATATAATGTTAAGAGAAATAGGTCCAGTTAGACTAAATTTACTAGATTTAGAAAATAATGAATGGTTATATTATTTTTAATGCCTCTTGGTGTACAACAGATTGAAGGGATAGCATTATGGACATTTTTAACCGAGTTCCTTCTTTTCAGGTTGGAAAAAAATAAATAAGAAGAAAGTGATAGAGTGCTTTGATATCCTGTCTCAGGAGATATCACAGTAATACAAGGACAGAAATCTCTTGTGTCCTAGCATGACATCCTTAGGTTTTCCTACAGTTAAGATTAACTTCAAGTCCATGGTTAACTGCAGAGCAAACATTGAGATGTTTTGGTATCATTTGCCCAGCAAGGCACCTTTTTGTTCTCTCTTTCAACAGCTGCATCACTTCTCCTCCATCTCACACTTGTCAGGGTATAAATATTTATTGTCTGGGACCTGGGGGCTGTGTGAACTTGCTTCCAGGCCAGTGTTTGCTTCTGATTTGGTCCCCTTCAAAGCTTTCAGTTTTATTTACAGTTTCCTGCCCTCTTCCACATACCCCTGTATGTTTGGGTTTACAGAATCTGTGTCCTGTGTCCATCAGGAAACCATATCCCGTTGCAATGTATTTTAATCCTCATGAAGTTTACAAGAATCATACTATGGAAGAAATATGATATTCATTCCTGGGGTATGAGCATGGTTCTCTGGTTTTTCAGGGTTATTATGGTTGTCAGCTTCCTGGGAGCCATGGATAACTGAAGCCTCCTGAAATCAGGACACATAATTACATATATCCTCTGCTGTGCTGTGCCCTCCACAGCTTCAGCTGTTGGGAAAAGAAATACTAGAAATGTTAGTGGATATTAAAAAACACACATCAAAACTAAATAATTCATTGTCTTTTCAGTGACAAAAATAATAGATTTGGGTTAAACCTTTTTGATTTTCATAGACCTTTCTTCTCTATCTTTTTAAAAGGAGTTTCCTGACTTTGAGAACACACTGACCAAAAAAAGAAAGTAAGTTGAGACCAGTTCAAGGTCTACACAGTGTCACTCTATTTGTCTGTATCTTTCATCCTTGTTTTATTAAAGTTTGCCAATGTTACTTTCATTTTCATAGAGTACATTTATTAATGTTGCAGTTGAAGAGCACATAACAAGCTTGTAATGCATTCTTAAGGCTCTTTTGCCATGACTTTTTCATATCCACACAGCTTTCTTCCCAAATATCAGAACCAGGACAGCTAAAATCAAATTCAGTTAATCTGAGCTTAGTTTAACCATATGTCTTCTTTTCTGAGAGATTGAAGTGGTAACCTATTTTATAGCATGTTTGCACCATTGACCTGATAATCTCCTGAAGAGGTTTTTTTTGTTTGTTTGTTTGTGTTTTTAATCCAAATAAAAAATTTGTTGGCAAAATGATTTGGATAAAGCAGGTCAGACATAATTTTATTAATCATTTTTGTGATGGCAACATATTTTGAATCCATTCATGGACACAATGCTATGGTTTGACCTAATGCTCAATATTTATTAGCAGACAGAGGAATTTATTTTGAAAATTCTCTTTTTTTTCTGCTTCATGGGAATGGCTATTGCATTACTGAAGTGGACCCCTCCAAATGAAATCTGAAATCCTGCCTAATGGAATGATACAGACAGATCTTATCTGTCTGCTGTGGCAGACATGAAAATCCCTGGAGTTTTGTTGGTTTTTGTTTTTTTCATCTGTAGGTGGGGCCCCACTAGACTCAGAACATCAGTGTTATCTGTGTATGTTGCTGAAAAATCTCAAAATGGGTAAAGATTTCTAAGAAAATGAAGACCTCTTTTGTCTTAAATAAGAGTTTTAATCTATTTCTTGTCATCTGATAAAAACACGAGCAACTTATCAGCTTCAAACACAGAGATATGTGCACTCATCTGTGAGATCTCAACTATGCATCACCAGTCAGGACTCTCTGAAACTCTTCCCACAATTTCATGAATTAAAATATGGACATAACTCTATTACTCATGGATTTCTCATCATTCTCTTACATTTTAAAGGAAATCAAACTACTGTGTAGGCCTTACCAAGCTCTACTAAATATGACAAAATCACATGTATGCCTAAACGTGTCCTGCTTAGATCAGAACTAGGTCTGCCCCAGGAAAAATATAGCAGTCTATAGCTAAAATGTTAAATTTTACAATGCAAATATAACTATTCTCTTTGAAACCTAATCCTATTCTAAGAAATTACCAGAATTTTGAAGCATTATTAAGATAATGAGACTGATCAATTAAAAAACAAAAAAAAAAAAAAAAAAAGAGTGAGCTGGAAGAAAATAGTTTGAACCAACATGAAAATATTTTGTAATGAAAATTATTTCATTGTGTCCAGCCATCACTGTCCTGGCATGTCACTCTCAGTGATAACGAGGAAATTTCCCCATTGATATTTCATGTAGATATGGATGAAGTCAATGAGGAGTTAATAATTCTCTGTTCCCTACATGGGCAATAAGGAAGCACGAAGTTATATGGAGCAGCAGGAATAACATAACTCTTCCTTGTTTAGACAATAAGAATTAAACTGTGGAATTCTGGCATCACAAAATCCAATTATTTTAAAAAGAACTAGTAGGTGCAGACTAGTTCCTTAAAAATCCTGCAACTGTTTAGCTGCACCCTCTTCCTCAGGAAACCCTTCAGCACCTGCACGACTGAAGATGGGAGAGAGGTCCCAGATTTTGTGCTCTTTCCCTTTTGTTGATCTTTGTCACAGATCAGACAGTCCTTGCTCTCACCTCCTGTAACCACTGCTCGTAAACTACTCTCCACTGGGTTTTTAATGTATAAAATGAAACAAATTAACCATTTATTCAAAGATTTTTTTTTACCCCTCATCTATTCTTCATGTTGTCCCCCTATGAACTACTGACCACAGATGGAAGCATGAATTAGGAGTCATCCTTGATGTAAATGTGCAAAAAGCTCAAGGTTTACTGGGGCAATACAATGTCACACAGGGTCCTGGGGATGATGTGCTCATATGTAGCTCTTTGGTTCAATCCCTCATCATGTCACCAAACTTAAGGCAATAATTCCAAAAGTTGTAGGACACCTCAGATCATGTCTAAATGAAAACATCTCTTCTTTTCTTCCTGATGAGTTCTCCAGATCCCAACATGAATTCTTTATTTCAAGAAGAAACTTGAGTCACATATTCTTGCAGAATGGAACCTCAGATGCTTTCAGAGCTTTTTGTGGGATGTGGGAGTAGATGATTGTGTGAATGAGACAAGTAACTCCATTTAAAGCCAGTGGGAATAACAGAGATAAATCCCTGTGCCCTACTTTGAAGAATTAGTTTAAAAATACCCATATTTGATTAAACACACCTTAATTTTTTCATTTTGACTTTCAGCTAATGGTAAATTCTTTTAATTCTTTTAGATCCATCCAGAAGTCCATGTCTGAAAATGAAGCATTTGGTTAGTAGCTGCTTAAATCATCTACTGTTTACTTGTTAATCTCAGAGAGCAAACTTTAATTAAGGGTCTGATTTGTTTTACAGCTGTTGGAGCAAATGCAAAGGAAAGAAAAAAAAAGAATTAAGCTATCAATATATTCCCCCCCTCTTTCCTGCTTTCCACACACACATGTGTAGTAGATATTGAAAACAAACTAGTTAAATATAGAAACCCCACTGGGATGAAAAACCTGTTATGGGACAACATTAGAAATACTCAGCATGTCCAGTGTGTCTTTTTATCACTTCAATAAACCCCTGAAATATCTCTGATCTAAGAGAATTCAGGTCCCTACCCTTTCCCATTTGAAACTATTTTGTGAGTATTTTCACAAACAAGATCACCAAGAAGGAAATTCAGGGGTTTTGTTAAACCCATCCTGACACTGTGTATTGTTATCTACACTTGTATTTCAGTGGATTCTATCTTGTAAATACTCTATAGGAAATAATCAGCTTTATTTTCTTAAAAGTAAAATTACCTGGATTTTTTTTTTTTCAGTGAGAGCTTCCTGTTATCATGCTTTCATTTATTCTTTGGAGTTTTCGTTCAGTTGTTGTATCTAGTCCTTGCTGAGCATACAGGGTATTGTATGTGGCTGTAATGATGTGGCTCTTTATCACAATGTGTCTCAGACAGATGAAAGCTCCCCTGTGTTAAGGCTTCACTCTGCAGCCCTGCATGGGAAGCACTTTCATGCAGGACAGTGTCATTTGGTCTACAGCAAACAGGCTCTAATGAATTCCCAGCACCTGTCAGGATCAACAAGAGCTTCCACAAAGAAGATTTTCTGAGTGAAACCCAGCATTAAATAAAACTCAGCAAAACAAAACCAAACAAACCCAGAAAGCACAAACCCCAAATAGCTGTCTACATGTTGTGAAGCACGAGCACTCTGAAGTTCACTGGAGGAGCAGGAGAATGGCCATTTCCTTCTCAAAGCCTAATTCAGCCATCCAGGCTGAGACAGTCCAAGCCTTGGAGTCCACAGGCCATCCCTGTGGGCACCTTTGATGCTGTTCCTTACAAACACTCTAGTTCAGTAATGATAGACTTAAATAATAATAATAATTTTACAATTCCTGGAAGCAAAAAAAGGCATAGATGGGATCCTAGGTCTTAAATCCAGGGTTAAGATAACAACCATTATGATCATGTGTTAACAGCGTTAAATGAGGTATTAGACCACAGCAAAAGATGATAAAACTTGATGTCTGACCATTATAAATATTATCCATCCATCCATCCATCCATCCATCCATCCATCCATCCATCCATCCATCCATCCATCCTTCCATCCATCCATCCATCCATCCAAATTCCTACATTGCAAAATCATCAGTTCATTTCCATGTCTGAGCAGATGCTCCAGTGTTCTGCAAGCTTGTTTGATTTGCATCCTGATGCTATTTTTATAGAATTTCCTGTTATTTCACAGGTTTGCTATGAATTCAGGTGACTGCTCTCTGTGCTTTTACTTTAGACAGGAAAAATGTGAATGGCACACTTTGGCAGGGTTCCAGGAAGCCAGAGAATGATTCGTACATCAGAAGGCACTGCCAGCTTGAAGGTAATTGCTAAACATATTTCAGCTGATTTTGCATTTTCAACAAAGTATTTTAAAGGGCACCTTGGAAAAATTGTCATTTTCCACCAATACTTCAGCTAAATAATTTGTCAGGTTCTTTAAGAGATTTATTTTGTCCTCAAGGTAAAAGTTGCTAAAATAAGGCTTATTGTAAAACTGGGAAGGTAAGAACACACTCTATGACAAATTAATTCTGTAGTCTATGGGCCAAAAGAGACTTTCCCTACAGTAAATTGCAGTAGTTGTGTTGTAGAGGGCTTGGCAGCTGTAGTAATCTCTGTTTCCTGGGTGTTTTACACAGCTCCAGATATCCAACAGAGAAAGGGTGCAACTTTTCTCAGAAGAAACTTTTTGTGGCAGGTGCAAAAGAGAGTTAGCCAAATTTTAAATGCAAGTAATTTGTCTGATTCTCTCTCTAAATCTGTTCTAACTTTATTAAGACAACCTTACAGCTAATGTTAGGAAGTTCCTAATGACACTGCTTAAGAGTGTACCAATATAAATTCCTTAAAATAACATTGAATATTAAGAAGTGAGCAGTCACCTCACCTATTTAAACAAAAACTGGACTTAAAAAATCAACATGCTTTGATAATCTGCTTGATGTTGCTTCCAGGAATGGCATTTATATTTGTACTTTTCAAAGTTAAGGTAGATCTCTTAGTGTTGCTTAATCAGACCAAACCAGACAAGGCTCAGCAGAAGCAGGAACCAAGATATGTGAGATTAAAGTGAAAGTATGTCTTGTTCTCAATTTAAACTAAAAAAGTGGGAATAGCTCCTGCACAAATGGTCTAGAGATCATCCACTGATAGGAGATTCCACTATTACCTGGATAGAGCAAAGAAATCAAAGGACAGGGTGCCAACTTTCCTTCTGAAATTAGTTCAGTTCAGTATTTGAAATTAAACTCTTAAATGTTTGGAAATAGATCTGAAATTGCAATAGGTATTGCATTTGCCCACCTATGGGCAAAATTGTTTTCTTGAACCAGAAATAAGGGATGACAGGAAGATTTAAAAAAATTCTTGTACTGAACTAGTAGGGGCAAAGGAACCTTCAGTAAATGTCATTGGAACAGGTTCTAATGATAGCTGAAAGAAATATTAGGTATTTCTCTCCTGACAAGTCTTACTTTTAACCAAAACCTTTTTGGAATTATTCTTCCAATGATACTCCAGAGGTTGCCAGATTCGAAGTGGGGTGAGGCTGAATGAGAAAGCAGAACTTTTTGACCTTCCTCCGAAGTATTTTCTACTCCAGGCATTTCTTACCCTTTTAAATATCCAAAGCATGCAAAAGAAGCGGTGCACATTTTAAAAGCTGACAAGTGTTGTAATTGAAGGGCAGGGGCCCAGAGGGAACAGGAAGCAAAGCTGGCAGCTAAATAAAAATCTCCCTTTCCCCTTCTACAGTAAAATTATTTCAAGGAAAGTTCCATTCACACAGTGGTGAAAACCTTTGCAAGGAGATTTACAGTGTACCACTATCGATCAAGATAATTCGTCACTATTGATCAAACTTTTCTCTTAGCAGAGATAATCCTTCAAGGTCTGCAAGTCTATTGCATAAAATGAATTTCTGTTAGATTTAAAAAGCTGTGTATGGTGGTCACCATAGGATTCTCTGTTTACTTCTGAGATGTATCCACAAACCTGTCTCAAATCTCACTGAAATAATTGTAGAGACATCCACAGACACTGGTAGCCTTTGGATGAAGCCCTCGATGACAGCATGTGTATTATTACATCTACAAACCCAAGTTTTCCAGGATGAAATGCAGTGAACGCATACCTATCCCACAGACACAATAGTGGAAACATCTGTCTTTGGTCACAAGGCCAAACCCAACTCATCAGCACAAAATCTGCCAGCCTAAAAGCATCATTGCTGAAAAGTTGACTGTGGAAGTCACAGTCATTGGGGTTTCCATGAAGGATTTTGAAAGAAATGAAAGAACAATCTTTCTTCCATGAAAGATTTTGGAAGAAATCTTCCCATGAAAGATTATGGAGACAAACAGGGAAGAACCAACACCTCTCAGAGCCAGTGGATGTAATTCTCCACACTGCAGCTCTATTTGAAGTTAATTTATATATTTTGCATGGAGTTTTTTATTTGTTTGTTTGGATTTTTAGTGGGTTTTTTGTTGTTGTTGTTGTTGTTGTTACTGTTGTTTGGTTGGGTTTTTACACAAATACCTTATTCCATAATTCAGTGGGTGGAGAGCTGATCTGAGCATGATGTAAGAGCACTGGGTGCAGGTTTTTATGGCTAACAAAATGCACTGTGGTTTGGGGACCACAAAGGTTTGCTTTAATAACTTGCTGTTTTAATCTGGGTTTGAGCAATATTACATCAAAAGCAGTGTCACTGTATGTAGTCTGTCAGGTTAAGGGCATTCTGTGTTGCCCCACAATTTTTTGTGATTCATCTGCAAACAGCTACTCAATAATAGTATTTTGGATTAGACTGAAGGAAGACTTTGGGGCAAAGAGCTGAACACTGCAGGATTTAATTTGCAGAGTAAGCTCTCAGAGCATAGGGATGTAGTGTACAGCAGGAGATGAAAACAAGTTACCCTGAGGACCAGAAAGAACCCAGCTACGTTAATCTGGTGTTGCATGAGCACTGCTTAGCATGAATTATGGTGCTCCTGGAAGTCCAGCTAGCTGTATAATGAAATAAACAACCAGATTGTCAGACACCAGGCCCTCAGTGACTTCAGGGAGATTTGTAGGTGCTTAAGACAAAATCTGGATCAGGATCTTATGTGCCTCTTTGAATATAAATTTTGATGATCACATTCAGACACTTTTTCCATGTGATAGCTAAAGAATCTAAGTCACTTAGAATTATTCCCTGAATTACTCTTTCTTTTCCTGTTAATAGTAGGGAATGCAATCAGTCTTGCCTGCATACAGTTAGTTTTTGTGGATCTATATATTAAGTAAGCTGTTCTTTTGTAAACAGGAGAACTACTGATGCTGTAAGGTATTCCACAGAAGCAATAAAAATGCCAAATTAGGATCAATGAGAACTAAAACTCCACAACATTCCTGCTGTTTTCTAGTGACTTTAGAAAATGTGGTGTGATTAGCAGATATTTTTCTTCATGTTTTTTTTCTCCCTGCAATGTCTGAGTGATCATGATCTCTGTTCTGATGGAATCTAATCACTAGGGCTGTCCTACAGTTGCACAGTAGTGGGTGCTTTGCCTTAAGACTGAGAGTAAAATCTTTCAAAGTAACCTTACTTAAAATAATATTTTCAGACTTATTTGACCTATTATTGCTCATTGTTGTAGCAAAGGTTAATACTCCTCCCATCCAAGCATTCATTTATTGCAAGAGAAGGAAGGACGTTCATCCTTTGAAAGCAATTTCTAATCTAATCTAAGTTAAACAGATTTCAGTAGAAAATATCATTTTTGCCCTTCATTTTTTGTATGAATATTCTAGACTTTGCTGCTGTAAATTAGCAGGGCAAGAGGAAAGTCACAGTGGGGTTCAGGGTAACCGGTTCCTCAGTAAACTGAGGACTGAGTACAGAAGAAGAAATAAGCACGAAAGAATTTTCTTTCTGTCAGTCAGTTTGCCAATTTGTTCTGCAGTCTCACTTCAAAGCAGTTTAAGATAAAATGTATGCTTAAATGATATAAGATTAACTTCAGAGAGTCAAAATGTCAGCTCAAAACATCAAGTGCAATTCAAATTATATTCCTCATTAAAACATAAAGCAGGACATTTTAAAGCATGTTTTCTCTTTTTTGGTCATAATTCACAGAAGATAATATTATTGCTGATGGAATACATTTGCTCCAAGGAAAGAAGATAGAAGAAACAACATGTCAGGTGAAACAACTACTCTTTTTTTTCAGAATCTAAATTTTCATTCAAATAAAATTTCATTTCTTGTTTCCATCCAGCATTTGCCTAACCTAAACTTTATACTCAGTATGCCTCTGTATTTTAGAAGCTGATTTAAAAAAAAAGACTCTGGTGACTTCCAAAGTTGTTCATGATTTTTCTTATGCAGGCCATATGGATTTCATTGCCTAGAAAACCTTTTCTTTCCCTGAGTGAATACATTTCTGCTAAATTGATGTGCTAGAACTGTGTCTGGCGAGATCTATACTGAGTGTTTAGATCTGTCTTGCATGATCCATATTGGCATATGTATCCTAATGCTTTCTGAATTTCTATAAGCATATTCCATATCTCTTCTTCCTAAATCTGTACAAGTCATCCCACTGGCATGAGGAATTAATGAGTTCTGACTCCTGGATTTGCATAATCATGGCAACAACATAAAAGTAGGTAACAACCCATCAGCTGGTGAACAGCAGAAGTGAGGAGACAGACCTGTAGCTCTGGAATTGGAATGACTGGTGTTTGGGTTTTATTTCACTTCCAGTCCAATGTTTGCTCTGATAATGTTTTGCTTTAGTTCCTACCTGTGGAAAACCAGCTTAGCTCTGCTGATTTCACAGGACATAACAGTTTACCCAGTTTGGGACTAAAACTGTATAACACACCTGTATATACATATATACAGTGTGTTCTAAATGAGGAATGAATACAATAAAATTATTTAAAAGCCTAAAATCTATTAAAATTTTCCTTTGCAGAAAAGTTTTAAATTCAAGGTGAGCATTAAACTTTAGCAAAAGCTTTGAGCTGAGCTTCCCCTGTTATTTCTATACAATGTCAGGAGTCCTTTTAGATTTTTAGGTTCAAACCAAGAAAAAAAAATGTATATTCATCACCCTCAAGGCATCAGAGACAAGACAAAGACCCAATGTTTAGGCAGTGCTTAGCTCCAGTGTAGTTTGGAGTCGAGATGTGGGTTAAAAGGAGAGTCAAATGATCTGCATGTCAGGGAAGAGACAACTGTACTGGAAACTGGGCCTGGAAAGTCAGTGTGTCCCAGGTTCCTCCTGCTTTCCCTCGGGGTTTTATCTGTCTCTGCACTCTTAGTTTGTTCTCATGATTATCTCCTCTCCCAGCTGACAAAAGAGTATCTGAGGAGGAACGAAAGGAGAAAACAATTCTTTTTCTTTTGCATCTCTTGTTGTCTTTCTCCGATTTCTTTCTCTCATTCACTAAGTATTGTGGAGAAAGATTATTCTTTGATTTCCTATAATAGTTCTTCCCTTATTGTGAGGGATCTCTGACTTTGCCCCTATCCTGCCATGACAGCTTTTGGACTGGCTCCTGGTAAAGGTCCTGGAGGACATTCTTCAGATATGACAGACTATGGAGGGGAAAAGGGAATAAGACCTATGTTTGCTTTAAGTATAAGTTCCCATAAAATCCCTTAAAACTTTTCCCCATTAACTATTTGCCCCATTTTAGGAGCAAAGTTCTTTTTTTTTTTGATTTCTCAAAGCATTAGAAGATTTTTTTTCAGATGCATGAATGATGAACTATAGGGACTTTGGTCCCTCCAAACTTTGGTATCAGTTTAAGACCTATTGCACTTTCTTTATAAGAAATTCAAGTTTAATGGAATTCTTTTGAATTTTAGTCATTGTTACCTCATGTTTTCATTATCATATATCATCATTGATAATTCTCTTTAAGCTTCCAAAATAGCCTGGTTATATCTGTTTTCATTTGCTGCACTACATTATGCACACAAACAAGGAAATGCTGAGAGAACAACATTATGGGGGAAGCTCTTTTTCTGTAGAATCAGCACAAATGAGTGTCCTTATGAAGTGCCTGATGCACACAGCATGGGGAACAGACAGGAGGAATTAGAAGTCTGCATGCAATTGCAGAACTGCAGCCTTAGGATCACAAAACTGGGTAGGAGAAAAACACAGTTCAGCTGTGCCAGAAAGTCCAGGGAATTCCAGGCTGCTACTCCCAGGAGTGTGATGGAGCAATGGGCACAAACTGAGATACAGGAAATTTCACTTAACATAAAGAAAGCATCCTTCTAGTAGAAAAGGTGGTGAGATACTGATAAGCTTCCTAGAGAGGATATGAGAAATTCATCTTTGGTGACATTCCTGTCAGGAGATGGACCTATGCAACTTGCTCTGGTGACCAATTCTGAGCAAGGAACTAAACTAGGCAATCCCCAAAAGTGCATTCCTACCTCAGCTAGACTGAGGGAGTTTGTGGTTCTCTGAGCCATGGAAAAGGCAAATTTACAAGCAGGAGTAAATAGCACAGATGAACACCTTATAATTTTTTTTCCTCTAGTTGAAGGAAAAAAAAAAATAGAGAAAGCAAATAAGTTTCCCTGAGTGCTTCACAAAAAGCTTTAATCCTTCTCCATTTCCTAACTTGACATTCATTCTTTCCATTCATTCTGTAAGTGCTGGAAAATGGGGCTTAAAACAGAAGTACAAGTTGAGAGATATAGCATGAGCACCGCTGCAATAATTGTACCTTACCATAAAAAAGTGCCTTTATTTTCTGCATTTATTTTGTGTACCTTTGTTCTTATTTACTCATGTCTAGTAGGGCTCCCCTGATGGCTTGAAGCCTTTGTAGCATATTGAGAAGGACATAAAATACCAAGTAACGCAGTCTTTGGGCTAATACATTTTCAAAAATGTTTCATGCCTCATTTCTCACGTAAATTCTTAGGTTGCATTCAGCCTTCAACGTGTCATTCATATTCATGAAGGAGAAAGGCCAGTGTTCATCACTTTCCTGCTGAGCTGTAGGCACTGCCAGGCTCGCCCCTTAGGGGCTGCAGCAGTGCCCCAAGGAAGGTGTATTCCCCTGGTGTTCCTCTCCTGAGGACACTGTGACCAACAAATGGCTTATGGGCAGATGATCAAAGTGTAAATAGTCTTGTCTTAGTTTTGAGGATCATCCCATTTTCTCCACATTGCCAATCCAGTTAAACTCACACCCTTGGTGCTCAACATTCCAGGAAAAATGAGGTGAATTAAGCAAGACCCTTTTTAGAACTGCATCAGTGATGCTCCTCAGCTGCTGAGGGAGTTTGCTGCTGAGGGAAGTCTTCCCTGCCATTCCTGTTCATTGAGCAAGGAAAGTCAAGATCCAGGATGAGATCCAAGGATCCCACACTAATGCATGGCTCTGCCCTGTCTCTAAGACATTACTGAGTCCCAGATAAATGAGGAAATCAAGACAGCTCAATTCCAGAACAATTTCAATGGGTGGCAGTTGGTGTATGTCAGTCTTTTACTTTCATATCCACACAGTGCCAGCCTGAAAAACTGTGAGCTCTTGTCTAGATTTAATTACATGATGATAGTTATGCTTATTCATCTTATGTAAGTTGTAATTTGTTTTAAATATTACTTTTCTAACTATCTAGGTGATAAACTATGAGCAATGGATCCCACAACGAGTTCATAATCCAGGTGTGCCTGGTAACAGTGAAATGGTGAGTTGCCATGAAAATTGTTTCTTTTTTTTTCTCCAGGAGCTGGGAATAGCAGGTTTGATTTTTCCTGTGCTATATGTTCCTTCTCCAAACGCTGAAAGATCATTATCCATATCCATGTTATTAATCATGATATCTCTTTGTCTTCTGTAGAATACTTTATTATTGCTCTGCTATTAATCATTGTATTTCTTTATCATTTATAAAACATTGCATTATTGCTGTGATTTCCAGGACAGAATCTGCCTATTATCCTAGGCTGCTTAGTTTGCTTTGCTCTCATTTTAAGCTAGTTGGAGTACCAGACCAACACCATAGGAATGTTTAAAGGTCAGAGATATATGTGTAGGAGCACATGAAAGTCTGCACAATGCTTCTCTATAAACTGGATGACCATGGCTTTATTGACATTTATTACAGAAAATTTATCCAAGTTTAGTGTGTCATACAGAACTCTTTTAAACAGAGAAAGAAGTTGTCTATCATCACATACTATTTTAATATTAATTATATGCAGCCATTTTATTACTGAAGATTCTCAAACATTTTTAAGGTGCCATAACAATTAGCACTGTGGACACAGTAAGCACACACCGGTATTTGTCTTCACACTATTACAATGTACTCTGAATTTAAGTGCATTGGTAGTCATGATTAAATCATTGCATTTCTTTGGGAAAGCAAGGCAGTTGAAGAAAAATCACAGAGATTAGACTGTGCCAGGACTAAATTCTTTATGCTGAGAGGTGACATGCTGTGCAAGTAGTTTTATTGAAATTAATGCAGTTACACCCAGGAAAGAGAGTGCTCAACAGGACTGAGATTGCAGGAATCTGACCAGCAGTGTTTTACACTTAGCTTCCAAATTGCTGTATTGCTGTCACCAGGTTAATCCTCATAACATCTCACTGTGCAAATTTCTAAGGTACTTAAAATACCTTTGTATTAACTGGAAACAGTTTATCAGATACAATTCAGGTCTTTCTTCTGTAATGCATTTTTAAAACGTGTATTCCTGCACACTTCATGCAAATTATTTGCAACTAAAAGGCAGCATGAGATTTATTTTTTTTTATGCAATTCATTTTGATTTGTGAGGTGACATGATTTTTTCATCACTAAAACCCATTAAGCAGGGAAATCAATAATATTCTTGGTTCTCGTTCATGCGGGAATTCTTTCCTTATAGATAGTTTTGCTTATAGATTGGGGGAAAGCACAGTTCACCTGATTGTCTGGTTTCTACACCAAAGAATGTTTGGATAGGCAGATAAAAATCCACATTTGAATGCTTAGGTAAGCCAAAATAAAATACTGTAAATTTAAAAGCTGTCTCACCACTAGCTGATACTGCATGAGCTTTTTTCTCTGCGAAAGAGAGTTATTGCATTTATTATTTAAGCACTTATGACTTTTCCTTAACAATAG